CTGTTGCCTTCAGAATTTTATACGGGTACGGCCTAATAGAGTTTATCAAGTTTAAAAACATGATACTCTTCTTTAATCAACCAACATCCTGTTTCTTCTTTCCAGAAGACAATCGCGGCTCATTTTTCCCCTTTCGAAGAGGTCTAATTAGTAGGCAATCTCTTATTCCAAGTAATACATCAAGACGCCTAAGACGTTCTTTGATAATCTTTTAGACGCTTTGTGATTTCTCTAAAATGATCCGGCTTGATAAATCGAAAGTAACACGGATTTTAGAGAACGATTTTGCATTGTGCAAATACTGAATTACATATAGAAGTCTTAATAAAGATAGTTTTACGTTATGAAACTAAAATTTGTTATTCAAGTTTCCACTCTGGCTATGTGTCACAATCGCACTTACACAAAAACACACACACACACACACGTTATTATTTTATTTGATTGATATTATATTTCGGTTTCGAATCACAAAGTTTTCGAATTGTTTTTGCGGTTTTTATTGTTAGATAAACGTTCTTCAGTGTTAAATTCACTAGTTTTCGTAATCCGCTTGACCAACTAATATCTTTCAACCTTAATTAATTGAAAGTTCTTCAGTGTGTTTTGAAAGAATATTGCTAACTATTTTACAATTACATTATAGTCGTTAAATTATATGAATAACGTGCCAAACTTGAAACTAAATGGCCTCGCCAGAATTTAAAAAAGGATGTGATAATGATGTGTTAGCTTTTCATGTTGTACGATTAGCCCCACGGCGTTGGCGGGAATGCATGGTACACGCAATCAAAATTAACATTATAAGTACTTTTCCCCCAAATGAATTAAAGCAATTAGTAAAATAATTTAAAAGCAACGGTTTTTCAACCAAACAGTAAAAAGAGACAATAAGATGGTCTTGGAAACGTATGTGTAATTTATATACCATAATGTATTTGATATATTGTATTATAATAAAATGTAATATCTTTGATTATGAAAATGCAGAATTCAAAAATAGCCCATATAAACGTTTAGTGCTTTTGATGAAACAATATGATCAAAGAATTTTTTTTTTATTTCTGTAGGTACGTGTATTGAAAGAAAAGATACCATTCCATCATCATTTGTTGAATTTTTTATGAATTGAACTAAATATTGAATCAACTGCGAATTTTAGTACGCGAAAATGTGATAATTGTCATAATGAATATCAAGCAGTAACAGAAGCCACCCAGTAGTGCCACGCTCTCACATTCAGCCAATCAATCTTTTAACATATCTCGGCCATAACAGCTTCATGACGTGTGAGATTTCCAAGAATGTTGGGACAAGAAAGCTATTGGACTAGTGGTCTGGGTTGAAGGTGTAAATTGTTGGAGAAGTATCAGGTATCAGAATTTAATATTTTCAAATGCAAATTAGGATGTAGATTATTGAGTGCATGGATTAGATTTTGTAAGGTTCGATATTTTCGTCGATCGTCAATTTTAAGTTCGTATGTCCATATTGGTCCAAGGAGAGTCTTTTAAATTGTGAGTTTGCTAGTGAGGAGTGTATGTAATTTGTAGCTTTTGTAGCTGCTTTTTAGTTGTGTATGGGGATTCCCCGTTAGATTATTATCAATCTACAGTCGCAGGTAGCGCCCAAAATTAGGGCGAAATCAAAATTGAATTTTTTTCCATTAAAATATCTTGAGAGCCAAAAATTGGCCTTCCTTGTTTTTAGTAAATACTTTCAATCGTTGAAATAAATCCGTAACTGAGTAAAATATTTAACCAAAAATGTTACTATGGAAACAATGAAGAAAATATTCAATTCAGTATGAAGTGTTTCCGCCGTTTGCGTTGACCACCGATTGCATTCGACATAGCATCGATTTTATGACATTTTGAATGTAGTGCTGTGCAATATTTTCATACTCCTCCAAACGACTATTACCATCGTTGACAGCTCGACCCAAAGGTGTTCGATAGAGTTTTGTCGGGACTACATGCTGGCCAGACCAAACATGGCATTGAAGTCCTTTCCAAGTAGTCGCCAACGATCCTAGCAGTGTTATGCATAAAAATAAAACCGTCGCCAATTAGTGGCATATAACGAACGACGTATTCTGATAACACTTCTTCAATGTATCGCCCACCTGTTAAGGAACCTTGTTGAAGATCAAGTTTGGCTGACCTTCCATAGAAATGCCCACCCCATAGGTTCTTGGGAGTGAAATTGTTATGGGCATATGTCCTCATGTTCTTATCAAAGTCCTCTCATATATAAGTAAATAATATGTGTGCGTGCGTGTTCTCGTAATTGAGTTTTCTTATACATGTCACATAATATTCATATATGATGATGAACAACATTTTGCATTATTATTATTCTTTCCATTTTTGAAGCGAGATAAAAAAGTACGGTGCACCGATGATTACTAGCATCAATAGATCTTCGAGTAATTTAGTTAAATATTTTGACTCGTTTATGGTTCATATGCAATAAATATTTTGACTCGTTTATGGTTCATATGCAATAAATATTTTGACTCGTTTATGGTTCATATGCAACCTCGTTTCCCTAGTGGATTTTAAAAGACATTCGTAACTCTGCCTGGGAACAATGCATTACCTCACCCTTCCATATTTTCCTTACTTCTTATTCTACGCATCACACTCCTGCAAGACACTGATATAACTTTTATTACGTGTTTTATTGACAGTTTAAAGTAACAAACCTATATTACAGTGGCAATATTTAGAGAAAAATAAATTTCAATCTTTGCTTTAACAATTTTTTATTTGACAGTTTTCAGTATGCTTGGCGTAAAACTGAAGGAATGCATGGATTTATTTTATTTTTTTATTTGAATAGTAATTCATATCGAATAATATTTAGTAGGTCAAACGCTACTTATCCAGATGCGCGACATATTACACACTGTTCGTTTTATGTTGGGATTAACTCACAAACCTCGATAATGTCAAAATCTTTTTCGTAATGACATAGTTCAGAAAGGTTCGGAAGGTTGCTTTTCGCCTTGTTTTCCGTATTACGCCTTCCGCGACCAATTTAAGTATTCGAGTAAATCTCAAATCGCGGATAATGATGGTAGCAAGTTCATTATTTTCCAGGAAGGGGATTTCGAGAGAAGAAAATACAAGCCATGGAAGGGTTAGAGGGCTGTTCTGGAACTGAAAGCCAGTAACGTTCTTATTTTATTTTGTTCCGTTCTTTCAGACGTATTACTTTCTAGACATCAGAGAAAAAATATGTTCGAACTATAGTGTTTTACAATTTTAAGAAGAATATACATTAATTAAGAGAAAGTTAACTTATACAGGGTGTCCCAGTTCCTTCTGACGAAACTAAGGAAATCGATTCTACTCTTCATTTGGAGCAAAAAATGCTCATGAGAAAATTTTCGGAAAGTTCTCTATTTTGAAGATATTCGTCAATTTAGGTTTTTCAATTTTTCACTACCTTATCACATAAAAACGCTAACAACTTCCAAAATGTTGAGACTACAATAAATCCAATTACACCATTTGAAAGAACGCTAAATTTGCTGTAAGATACTCCTTTGCAATAATCTGAATGACATAAAATGTTAGCCAATATCAGTCGGAAAATGTCAAAATACCCCCCTCCCATCCAATTTATCTTAGCTCTCGTTTTCGAACATTCAATTGTTATTTTTCAACTCTACTAGAACGTTATTTAAAAACCTGGATATATCAACGTAAACCATATTAGATGAAGAAGTTTTTGTAAAATTTGACAAGTTGTAGGTATTTTTTTGTTACCTCAGTAGAACGTGCAATCATGACCAAAATTTTAAATTTTGTAATTTTGACATGTTCCAACTGATATTAGCTAACATTTTATGTCATTCAGATTAATGCAAAGAAGTACCTTACAGCAAACTTAACGTTCTTTGAAATGCTGTAATTGTATTTGTTGTAGTCTCAACATTTTGGAAGTTGTAAGCGTTTTTATGTGGTAAGGAAGTGAAAAGTTGAAAAAACCTAAATTGTAGAATATCTTCAAAATAGAGAACTTTCCGAAAATTTTCTCCTGAGCATTTTTTGCTCCAAACGAAGAGTCGAATCGATTCCCTTAGTTTCGTCAGAAGGAACTGGGACACCCTGTATATACATAACATATACGCGCGCGCGTGCGTGGGTACGTCTTTAAAAAGAGAGAGGCCATGCAATTTATACGGCTAATTAAAACAATTACTCAAATATTTCGCACAATTATAGAAATCATTAAGCAATTAAAAGCAACTGTTCGTTTAATCTTTACTGTAATTTGGTCTTTAGCTATCATATTTTGTCTATAACTAGGTCAGACGGCGTGGAGATTTCGTCATCTTTGCATGGCGTCCAGTATAAAAGTAGGAAGACAAGCAAAATTGATTGGTAACTTTCTCCGCAAACTTCATAAACGTTACGATAATAAAAAATATTTTATAACAGCCCCATTTATTGATTGGTTGGACTTGGTGAACATTTGTTTATTTTTTTTAAAGGCTTCTGAAGAAAAAAAAAGACTTCTTTCTTAATTGCCTCCCCTTATAACCGCACGTGTTTTTCATGATAAGTTGTTTAGTCCTGGATTGATAAATGGCAATAGAACATGTTGGGCTTAAGTACAGCTTTAATAAAGTTTTTAAAAAACTTTTATTTGTAGATTTAATAAAAGATTGCAATCTTATCAAAAAGACTAGTATTACAGTTTTCAATAATTATATTTTATCCCTGTTTTGACAGGTTTTGGTTATACATAACAGATCACGTTTCGTACGAGATCTCGTATCTTTACAAGATGTTTACCTAATTTAAAATGGAGGAAAGATAGTGCATTTTTGTTTTTAGAATACTGTAAACGTAAATTGTGTATTCTTTGGCAATGCCGCTTTACAAAATTCCAAATTTTAAAATCTCTTTTAGCTTATTTTGTTCCAAATAAAAATATTAAAACAGTTTTTGTGTGTCTTTGAATAAAAAATAAAAACTTGTACTCACATTTGACGTCTATGTTCACAGTAAGCGGCTCGCTAGGGCCAAGGCTGTTCCTCGCCTGACATGTGTACGTTCCTGAATCTTTCCTGGTAACGGGTCGAAACTGGAGGCTCTCCTCCAAGCTGGACACGTCCTGGCGACCGACTTTCCTCCAAACAACGGACGCCGGAGGATTGGCGTCGGTCACACATCGTAACACAACGTTGTCACGGTTTTCCTCAAGGTCGGTCGTCGGAGCACCCACCAACCTTACTTCCGGTGGAACTGCAAAAATATATCAATCAGAATAACCATCAAACTATTTGTTCATTGTTTAGTTATTGTAATAATTACAATTAGATTTAATCAAGATCAGCTATTTCTTTTATGTGGATTATTCACAATCATTCATAATACAATAAGCAATTCAGCTAATTTAAATATTACAGTTATTCAGATATCGTGAGATGCGGTCGGGTGTGATGTAGGTTTCAAAAAAACATTTTCTTTATCGTGCCAAGGTTTCGATCTTTTATTGAGATCATCTTCAGGGCCTGGGATTTACAAACAATGTTTACATTTAGGATGTGGAAAAGTGAATTTATATAATGCAAAATATATTTTATATTCAAACAAAGTATTTCTACTCACTCAAAGTGTTTGTCTTCTGTGTAATTGTGCCATCCTTGCGTGTCGTGTTGAGAGTGCCAGTGAGATTTTGCTGTTTTATGTTTATATATGTTTGGTTTTGAAGGGGTGGGGAAGGAAGTCGGTATATAAAAGACAATTTTGTGTAAGGTGTCGGCTTCTTTGAAGTGAAATAAGCCGACAAAAGGGAAACAATGTGTTGGTAATAGTTCGGCCAGATTATCCTTTCAGGATTATATAGAAAGGGAATAAATAGGAAAAGGAAAGCTAAATTGTTGGAAAATTAGACTATGTGAAAAGTATTTGATGTGTGGAATGTAATGTAATGATATATGTATGTTATCTATATTGTATTTGGTTAATGACATAAATTATGAAAAAGATTTTAAACGACTTCAACATATACATACATGTTACATATACTATGCGAGTTTATTACGATATCAGAATAAATAAACAATACATGATTTTAGTGCCTGTTGAAATATTGAATAATAAAATATTTACTAGTATTTTCACCTTTAAATAATTTACTACGGATATAATCTTGTTGACAGTAACGTGATGGAGTGTTGTTTTTTATGGTTTTAATATAACAGAGTCGTCAATGGAAGATGCGAGATCCCTTGAGATAGCACGTGATTTATCTTTTATTTAAAAAATTCTTATCATTTCATTGAAATGCCTTACGCGACAGAGCGACGTAAATTGAATTTAATTTTAATATTCAACAGTTTTGCAAGACGTCCGTTTATTATTAAGACAAAGGATTGTAGTTTTTTTGTTGTTACTATAAATCTACAGAATTTTGTCCTGATAACTAAGTTGAAGCTTTTTCTGTAAAACACTATCTCTGAATTTTCAGAGAATTCTTCAATTAGAATTTTGTCGTTGTCTATGTCAAAAATAATTTCCCGACCTACTTTATTTTCCTTGTAAAGTTCGCTGTGAATTTTGTTAAAAAATTGAAAATATAGACTTACAAGGGTAGTGTGCAACCGACTCCACATAAAAAGCGGTCATGTTTCGCATTTCTTCACCGAGGGCTCACACTTTTCATAAATTATGCAGATAAATTGTATATGCATGCATTTATTCTTCTTCACGACAGTCCTATCCCGTTTGAAAAGAAGAAAAAAATACATTTTTTCTTTAGAAATGCACACTTTTGTCACCGAGAATCGATCCGCAGGTAAGAAACGTTCTCGCCGAGTAATTCCATTACTAGCAAATAAATGCAATTCACAATTGCCGAACCCATAAGTTTTAATGAAATGACGTTTAATTGATGAATAATTATAAGAGCAAATAATGGGTTTAAACTGTAAAAGTTTAACTAATCCATTTAAGTTTCGTTGACGTGACTAACTTGTCAGTATACATATTAGACTTTATAAACCTGGAACTGGTTTAGGGTATACGGATGGCTCAATGAAGGGAAATGGTACGGTTATGGGCGCAAAGAGGCCTAATTATAAGCACCATATGGCTGTATCACTATCAAGCCATAGTGCTAGTCATAGAACCATATGGAATATACACATATAAAAAATACCCTAAAATGGAGTACCACAGGGCAGTGTGCTTAGTGCTACACTTTTCTGCTTAACCTTTAATGAGGTACTTAAGCATATACGATTGCCGTGTAGAGCAATGCTGTATGCAGATGATCTGGTATTGTACTGTCAGGGAAAAAATATAACAATGCTACAAGAGGACATGCAAACTAGTTTAAATGATGTTCATCAGTGGCTATGCAAAACTGGCTTTACTGTCTCTATTGAAAAGTCAGCAGGAATTCTATTCTCAAAAAGACGACCTAGTAGTTTTCCAGTTTTGTATATTTCAAATAACCCAATCAAATTCGTAGATCGAGTCCCCTATCTTGGAGTTATCTTTGATAAGAATTTAAACTGGGCTGCTCACCTCAAAACTCTGAAATCCAAGTGTTCCCAAGCACTGAATGTCATGAAGACTGTAAGCTCATGTTCGTGGGGTGCTGATCGCAAGGGGCTTACATGTTTATACAGAACTCTTGTGCGATCGCGTCTAGACTACGGGGCAANAAATACACTACCTGAACTTTTAGGGGATGATCAAGATACACTTACAAAGCTGTTTCACTTTTTAAATGAAGCTAATCTAATCAACAAAATATAAAGAGCAATGTGTAACATGGGACTCCCTGTGGCTGGGGGTGGGTTGTGGGGTTGTGCATGCTGGGGCATTGATGTGTGGGTGCGCCCTTCTGGTGTGCTGGTTCCTCGATCTTCCTCCCGCAGGGGGATTCTCTTAAAAGATACATGACCCTTGGTGGTTCGCGCCCCTCAAAAAAAAAAAAAAAAAAAAAAAAAAAAAAAAAAAAAAAAAAAAAAAAAAACACCTAGTCCAGCAATAGCTAGGAAAACGGTATGGTGACAAGGAATGCTGTTCTTGTACAAGGTAGGTCATGATACGTAAAGAGAAATATTCTGAAAAAAAGGAAAAGAAAATTTTCCTGTACTTCATTAAAAAACGACATTTACCAGAAGATCATTAGCCAGATAGAGGAATGTTTAAATGGTAAAAAGAAAAATGCCAACGAATTTAAATGGGAAGGAAAAAACGAAGCTTCGTATACAATTACCAAATGTGTAAACAAAACGGGTGATAAACATCATTGTTTAACATTTAATTTAGTGCAGAGATGGGAGTTGTTGTATAAAAAATTTGCTTCTTGAATAGCCTGTTAGCCAGTTGGGGTTGTTTTTAATAAAACATTATATCCTGGTAAAATGAAAGGCATCCTAAAAATCTCTTGTAAGTAAATAGTAAGATGTTATATTTACCAAATATTTCCCTTGGTTTCCGTTTTCCGGAGTTATTATACATTACAGTTTTCCTCTCTATTATTCCTCAAAATTTATAAATAATTTAAACAATATTTAGTTATTGACTTATACGAAACCGTTTTTACAGGAGTGTCTATAATTGATAAAATATGGAATAGTGAATAAAGCAATTACTTAAATATACAGAAGTGATGGTTGATAATAGAGTTTGTTAACCTGAGTTAATGGTGAAACAGGGACAAACAATTTTTCATTCGATTAGTTATTAGTCACTCTCACGGAAGATCATATATCAAACGTGCTAGCCATTTTTTATCCAACTACTGTGTGTTTGAATCGTGTCATGCAATGTGTTACGAACCTGGACGGTCTGAGACAGGGGAAGTGACAAAAAAGTATTAATCTGACTCAAAACATATCGGTTCGATCGATCAAGTGGATATCTCCACCAAGTTTTGGTAAATACGAACCGCTTTTTGGCACCAATATACAGATTGTAGTATAATTGTTACAACAGCTACCTCATTATAACTTATAAGAAGTTTTTTCAAATTTCAAATAACATCTGTTTTTTTAAATTGTAATCAATGCACCGATTACCGGAGACATTGCACCAACATATTAAGGTTTTATTTTTGCAAATTTTAAATGACAAATGTGTGTGGGTGTGTGTGTAGCACATTTTTGAGAATATCTAAGGCAATTTAACTGATAATATTAAATTAAATATGGATCAGATATGAAAAGTACAACTCAAGAAAAGGAGGACTCAAGGAAATGTAAAGGACATTAGAAATGCTAGAAAAACGTAGTATCTTATACGTCTGGTTTATAAAATAAAAAAAATATTAATACATTGTGGTGACCCAGAGGAACCACCACAGACGGCCCTATCCAGGGCCTCATCACCGCCCCTATCTCACTTATCCCCCCCCCATGGGTTCTGCCCATGGAGGGCGTCCGCATCCACCGGGAGTGGGGGAAGGAAGGTATATCCGGAAAAGGCGGAGAGAGGGGGAATTTCGTTTCCCTAGCCGGAAGGTGACTGGACGCTCGGACAGAGAAAAGGAAAAAGCACGGATTACCGAGGAAAAGAACAGAGAAGAAAAAGGAGGAAGTTACCCGGACGGGACTAGCAGAGGACACTGGACCACCTCGGGCAAGGTAGGAAGGCTTCCTTTTCTTTGCTCGCCCCCCCTATCTCCGGAGAGTTATTCATTTGGTTTGACCATATATTCACGAATGTAAAAGGGTAACCTTGTGAAAATAAAAATCTTGTTTCCCTACTGGAGGAACTTTTTCAGAACCCCGAACCCGACCTTGCTCCCCATCTCCTGACTCTAAAATTCGCTACAACATATTAATGTATTTCCTATAAGGTTACACAATAGCAGAGGTCAGGCCTCAGGCTGCCGGTGTTTTTGAAAAAAAAAAGATGCCCATTTGTAAGTATGTCAGATTCGAATGAGCGCCCACTGGATTCGAACCCGGGATCTTTACTTTACATTAATGACGCCTAATCCGTTGAGGCCACCGACGTCCTCTTAAATAATAATACAGAAAAATGTGTTATTTTAAATAATAATGTTCTCTCACTTTCACCCTCTTACTATTCAAACTATCATCCTCACCATTCTCACTCGCATTCTTTTAGCCTCCTTTAAATATTTGTATATCTATTTATCAATTTGTCTGTTTTTATTTTTTATTTACCTTTTTTTATTCATTTTTTCAAATAAATTAAAAGTTGATTTATCGGAAACAACATAGTCAAAATTTTGTGCCAAATTAAAGTAGCAAATGTGT